GTAGTACGTGTCTGGCCATTGACAGCGGAGTGAGGGAGTCGGTTGCTGGTATACTGCAGTGGGTCTGTGCAGTCCTAGATGGGTTTCACCATTGGCAGGTGTGGCTGGACCTCGTTGTGTACGGCGGTTGATGACTGAGCACAGTCACTACAGTATTTTCGCTGTGGGCCCGTGAAGAAACTGTGTCCCCCAGGCATCCCGATGCTGTTTTCCCTCGAGAGTTGTTGCACTGTCTCACTGAGCCTGGGCCACTGCGGCGGTTCACTATGCATCCTGGCTGCGGTGACGCCTTTTGCAGCTCCATTGCGTGCCAGGCTACTCGTTGTGACTGTATTCTCTATAGCTGCGGACGCTGGGCTGGAGCAGGCCGCTGCGCTATTCTGAGTACGATGACTGTTTGGACGGCAGGGCTGCAGCCTCATGTTCGGCAGCGAAGGGGTAGTATGAGGAAAGTGACCAGGCTGCAAGGGAGGCTGCTGGCTACCGCTGCTGCTACAAATCTGTGAGTTGTTGTTGCTGGGCTGCAACATAGTAGTGGCCTGGTATTGGAGTGAGGCACTGGGAGTTGCTAGTACGACTGAGATGAGAAGCAGCCTGTTATAGTGATTCGGGTTGTCCTACGACACGGACGCCAGTACTCAGTGCTAAGGGCATATGCTGGCGGGCACAGACTGCTGTTGCTACGATTTGGGGAGCGGTTGTCAGGTCTCCCTTGACCACCGGTGGTCAGATGCTGTGACCGACAAAGTTGGCTCTTGGAAGGAAGTCGCCACCCGTAATGTACTTTATTGAGCGCCTTGCCATGCCTTGCTGCTGTACGTTGCCGTGTCCCTGGTGAACGTCTGCGATACCGAACTGTTGTACACCCTGTGTGCTGCTGCTAGGCAGGGCGCAGTCCCTCGCTGTGCACTACTGCTGTGCACCGCTACTGTTCTCCCTCACGACGGGGTACTGCTGCTGCGTGCGGACTGCGGTGGCTAGTTACGGCATGTGGTTGCAGATTGCTGCTAACTATTGACTATGGGCGAGTTGCTGCTAGCCGCCGCTGCAAGCTGCTGCATCTAGGGGCTGTGTGCAACCTGTTGTTGCATTTAACTGCTGATGTTTACTATTGACCGCTGTATGCTGCTGCACACTCCCGCTGGCTATCATGGACTGTTACAGACTGCTAGGCGGCCGCGATTGGACTGAGGGGAGGTATCGAGACTTGGAGAGGTGATCGGACCGGACGAATAGGGGGCTAGTGCTGCGAATTAGGGGATCGTCAGGGGGTTGAGTTCGACGATCGAGTTCAGCAGTTGACCCTGGTTTGATCAAGCTGTCACATTGGCTGCCATTGCAGGGCCCTCAGGCGATTGAAGACAACAAGGCCCTCTCTCGCGAGTCTAAGTGCACCCCTCTTGGATCTGAGCGACTTAAGACTTTCTCTATCTGCCCTCCCAACTCTAACTCTAGTCTATTGGTTACGAGAGGAAGGCAGAAGGCGGGATTGCAACCCGTAGGACCGCACCAAGACTCTGTGGGGAGTCAGCCCACCGATTGCGGGAGCTCTGCCGGAACCTAGGCGAGGTTCTGGAGGCAGGGAACCATTAGGTAATCCATCTCTATCTGTACACCCCACTACACCCGTGTTTGCATACCCCGCAATAACTTGATTGATGTATACATGCGTGCCCCTATAATTATGGCTTTCTATTCAGGACATAACCAGACCAAATAAAAGAATGCATGTATAATGTCAGTTTCAACTTCTTTGTTTTGCCTGAAAGCAGATTGTGGGATTGCGTCTGGGGGAAGGGTGGGAGAAAGGCAGCTTTGCATGAGTCTGAATGGGTCAACCAAAGGCTGGGCCAGTTCCATAAGTTTGGGAAGGTCAGTGCTATGTTTATTTTTGGATTGCATGGAGAACCAGACATGTTTTCATAAGTTTGGGTGGTCTGGTTGCTCTGACCTGTGAGGGATGAATGTGATTGTTTTTCGAGCGTCGGTCAAATCCATAAGTTTGGGTAGTCTGGCGGCCTTGTTTATTTGGGGGTTCTGATAGTTTCTTTGGTTTCTGAACGAGGAGGTGAACATGTCCCATAAGTTTGGGTGGCTCTACCTCTTCCTGCTTTGGTCTAAGAGAAATAAACCAGGCTGAGGAAGACGACATGTTTCATAAGTTTGGGTGGTTTTGATCCCACGCCTCGCACATGTTGGAACGGGAAGGCTATAACTTTGAAATACTTTACTATTATACTATCTATGAACAGGCTAGTCAGACAGAGTTTCATAAGTTTGGGTGGCCTGACTATAACTTATCACCAACGGAAGAGAGTACTTAACTAAGAATAAACTTGTGATACGAAGGGGCAGACAAAGTCTTGAGCTGAAGATGATCGGCTCAGCTATATGCTACTTCAAAAGACTAAGTGCAGACAATTATATAAACTTTGGATACTTAAACTGTTCAGGGCGACTAGGATGGCCTAGTCACATGCCCAAAGAAGAGAAAAGTTGTTGTGCCCTATGTTTGTGTATGCTTCTTGGTTGGGCTAGACATGTTCCATAAGTTTGGGTGGTCTAGCCTTATGCCCTATGTAAGCTGGGTATAAGGGACAAATCATTGATAGGCTACGAACTATTGCTTGCTAAGGTAACTTGGGGATGGTGAGAGAGTGCATGTCTGTGGTTTGGCCTGCATGTGTCTAAGTGATGTCACTTCTTAGTCTGAGTTGGGATTTAATAGGTAGTTGCTGTAGTTGCTCGCCATGTGCTAGAGCCATAGGAGTTAGAGTCATTTTCTGCATTTTCTGGGATCTTTTTCATACTTGGTCTTGTATAAATCTTGGTAAGCCACTTTTCCTACGGGAAGCGCTGCCGAAATTTCTACAAAATTAAGGAGTTAGTCAGAACTTTGACTTATTCAGGATCCGGTTTTGATGACTGTTTGGCTTAGTAAGAATATGGGGAACCTCCTTTTCTAAGGGAGGTGCTGCCCAAATTTTTGCTAATTCAGGGGGTTAGCCAAAATTGGGCTCTGAAGAATCAAAGTCATTTTCAGATTCTAAACTTGGCTTTGTATAAAACTTGGACTAGCACTTTCTCTACGGGAAGCGCTACCGAAATTTCTACAAAAGGAGTTGGTTGGGATTCTATCTGACAGAGCTTAGACTTTATGTCTAAGTTCAATTCTGACTTAGTATGAATCTGGGAAGCCTTCCTCTCTAAAGGAAATGCTACCCAATTTTTTGCTAGGTCAGGGAGTTGGACAAATTCTGACTTTCTGGGATCCAAAATTTGACTTTTTGGACTAGTATATTTTCTGCGATGTCACTTTTCCTACGGGAAGCGCTGCCGAAATTTACCTAAGTCTGAGGAGTGAGATTGACCTGGCTTGTGTCACAGGTCTTTTTGGATCAAGTTGCTTCAGGACGTGGGTTGGACTCAGCGTTGATCCTCTTAGGATCACCCTCTGTTATCACATATAACAAGTCGGTTGCCGACTCGTCGGTTTATGACTCAACCTCAACCCACTCTCCTTACTCAACCTAAAGAGGCTTCAGCCCTGGTGATCTTCTCTGTTTTGTTAAGGTTTCGCCCGGACTTTTATTGAATGGCCATTTGACAAAGGTACTGAGTATTTACTTAAGGTTGGTTGGCTGGAGGTTGGGGTTTGCATGGCTGAGGCAAAGGGTATTAGCATAGAGATTGGTTGGAGTTGACTCCGTGTAGTGTATGGACTTTTGCTTGACTCTTTGATGTGATTGCAGGTATGTTCTGGGGCTTGGATTATTGGATTGGACTGCCCTGCGATCGTGTATACATGTATAGCTATGAGGAGGCTCACTATGATTGTGAGATGTGATCGTCACACGTTCATTCCCATATGAGTATATATGTGTGTATATATGTATGTATGCGTACCTAATTAGGGTATTTGTGTAGCCTTAAGGGCCTGCGTGCCAAGGAGTTAATCGGGGGTTGGGCTAGTAGAGAAAGGATGACCCCATTACTTATATAAGTGTTTCTTAAAGATTCCTAGTCGGACGTTGGTCCTGGGCCGGGGTTCAAGGTCCTTGTCCACGACATCCCAAGCCCTAGGCCCTGCACTGAAGGGGACTCCCCTCGGGCAGAGCCTACTTGCCTTGACCGCCAGGACACTCGGGCCGGAAGCCAGACGTGTTGCGACGCCTGCACGGCTAGTCCTTCAGTCGTGCAATGTCGTGAAGGGCGGAACCTTCACGATACTTCGAGTCTGACACTTGAGTGTTATAAGCGATACTCGGATCTATGAGGGACCGCTCGATTATGGGCACTGCATAGTACGTTATCTTCGCGACTGCTTGTGTGCGTTGGCATTGCTAGTCGATATGAGAAGGCCTACGCCCGCGTGGCCTTATATTAAGTCTCGCGCACGACGCTCAGCCGATTCTCGCACCAGGAAGTTATGGGATGAATACTAAGGGACTAGGAGTGTGTCGCGTTGTACGTCCTTTGCGTCGTTCAATACTAGTGTGCGTGTGTGCATGTGTGCGTGTGCTTTACTTTTATGTACCTTATAGTGGTGTGCGCGTGGAGTGTGGGATACGTCCTAGTCGACCGGCGACGAGCCGCACTTGGGACCTCAGCCCCCCAAGATGTCGGTTTGCGTGCGGGTCCGATAGAGGCGTAGTACCGCGCGTACCCCTTGTGCTATTGCGAACGAGAAACGCCCTCGGCTGGTCCACCTCTGCGATTGCAGCTGATCAACTTTCGTATTGTGGACTGGTAGCTCGGCGGGGATACGCCCACCGAAGGGAGGTGACAGCTCCCGTGAGGTGAAGGTAGTCGTGCCTCGCGTAGGCCCTGTCCTGTCGTAGAGGCTCGCGAGAGGTATGGCTGGCGCACCCGGCCGGAGTGGCTTACAGAAGCTCCATGTATATATCGCAAGGGGGATGTGTGGTCTGACTCTGCGTGACGCGGCCGGGAGGGTCCCGTGCTACCGCTGAGTGGTGCCGGACCTATGCGCTCTACAACAGGAGACTGCGTCGAGGGAGGATGAGGACGAAGAGGACGAAGAAGAAGACAAAGAGGGGGAGGAGGAGAAGGAAGAAGAAGAAGAAGAGGAGGACGGGAAGGAGGAGAATGACGTCGCGTTGAAGGAAGAGGAGTAGGAAAGGGACGAGGAGAAGAGGAGGCCACAACGATGGACGAGGTGGAGAAAGAGGACTTATAGGATGAAGAAGAAGAAGAGGAGGAGGAGGAGGAGGAGGAGGAGGAGGAGGAAGAAGAAGTAGAGGAGGAAGAAGTGGAAGAGGAGGACGACGACGGCGAGGAACAGAAAGAGGAGGAGGAAGAAGAGGAGGAGGAAGAAGAGGAGGAGGAAGAAGAGGAGAAAGAGGAAGAGGAGGGGGAGGAGGTGGAGGAGGAGGAGAACGAGGAGGAGGAGGAAGAAGATGAGAAGGAGGACGAGGAGAAGGAAAACGAGGAGGAGGAGGAAGAGGAAGAGGAGGAGGAGGAGAAGGAGGAGGAGGAGGAAGAAAAGGAGGAAGAAGAGGAGAAGGACGTGGAGGAGGAGAAGGAGGACAAGGACGAGGAGGAAAACGAGGAGGAGGAGGAGGAAGAATAGGATAAGGAGGAAGAGGAGGAGGAAGAGGGGGAGAAGGAGGAGGAGGAGGAGATGGACGAAGGGAAGCTGGCTCACCTGCCGTGGGCGGGCGATAGCGCATGGGGTTGTTGTCGTCGACGTCGGAGTTCGGCAATTGCAACACCAAACTCCGGTGACAACGCGGGGGCCAAGACGCACGGGGTAGAACGGCAGGGCCCCAATTTTTGAATTTCAAAATAGCCCAATTTGGGCCGTAAATCTTACAAATCTGACGGCCTAGATCAGGCAGTTTTGATTTTCACTTTTGGAGGCCCTATCGGCCTCCAACAATTCTTCCCGCCCACACCCCTGGTTGACCTGTCCCATTTCTCCACCCCTCCGCCGCCCGAGACCCTTTCGTGGACCCACCCGATTTTTTTTTGGCGATCGGACGTAGGACCCCCGACAGACGGCCGACCAGTTGTCCGATCGGAGAGTCCCGGACGGTCAGGGGGGTCCCGGACGTCCGATCAGGTAACGTAGAAAAAAAGTAAAAAAAAAATATTTTCGAGGGGTGGTTTTTGGTGTGTGAAAAAAAATATTTTCAGAAAGTGGCCTCCTTCTCCTCCTCCATCGTCGGGCCGTCCTCCTCTTCTTCCTCCTCCATTTGTTCCTCATCCCCTTCCCAATCCTTGTCCTCGTCCTCGTCCTCGTCCTCCTCCTCCTCCTCCTTCTCCTCCTCCTCTTCTTCTTCCTCTAAGTTCTCTCCCTCCTCCATCGTCGTGGCCTCCTCCTCCCTCCTCGTCCTCCTCCTCCTCCTCCTCCTCCTCCTCCTCCTCCTCTTCTTCTTCTTCCTCCTCTAAGTTCTCTCCTTCCTCCATCGTCGTGGGTTCTCCTCGTCCACCTCTTCTTCGTCGTCCTCCTCCTCACCCTCTTCTTTTTCGTCTTCGACCTCCTCCTCCTCCTCCATCGTCGGGCCCTCCTCCTTCTCCATCGTCGGGCCCTCCTCCTTCTCCATCTTCTCCATCCTCCTCCTCCACGTCCTCCTACTCCTCCGCCTCCTCCTTCTCCTCCTTCTCCTCCACCGTCGGGGCCTCCTCCTCCGCCTCCGCCTCCTCCTCCTCCTCCTCCATCATCATCGAGGCCTCCTCCTCTCCTCGACATTCTCCGCTGCCTCCTCCACCTCCGCCTCCTCCTCCACCGTCGGGGCATCCTCCTCCGCCTCTGTCTCCGCCTCCTCCTCCTCCTCCACAGTCGGGGCCTCCTCCTCCGCCTCCGCCTCCTCCTCCTCCTCCCCCTCCTCCTCCTCCTCCTCCGAATCTTCCTCCTCGTC